CAATTTCACTGCCATGAGAAACATCTGTCAGGAATTTTAAAGTAAACGCCATGCATCTTCGGTAAGGTGCTCCTTAAATCTCGGTTTTGCGAAGGATAAGGTGAGTGAAAAATACTAGACAGAGTGGTCGACCGTGTTTCCAAAATACATGGGGGTGAATATGCGTGAAATGCAGGTGGATGGTATAAAAATATATGACGATACCTTGATAAATCATTTAAATTATTAAATACTTCTAATGTTATTTTATTTTACTTTTGATTTATATAATAATAGTCTCAATGTATTCGTATCTTGCCTTCGAAATTGTGCTAGAAACTACTTTAATCTGAAGCAGTAATGTTATAGCTAGATAAAAATGTCTAATATAAAAATTATAATGGTTATTCTGTTAAAAGATTGCATAATCGTATGATGATTGCATTACTTGAATGTGGTTTAATAAAAATAGTAAAGTTCAAGTATCCTGGCACTGTGTTGGGCATTTTAACGCTTTGATAATTTGATCAACGACTGTATTAATTTCTTAAAACATCCTGAAACGGCTCCGTTTCTTCTCGGAGAAAGGAATTTCCTCCGGAGAATAAAGTCTCGTAATGTAACCGATGAACCGAGCTGTTATCAATTTGAAGTTAAACGGAATGAAGTGCAACGGCAGAGAATGCTCGCGCCTGCCAATGAAAGTGGTTGAATTAAATGGCGCGACTGAATGGCACGAATTAAGATCGGTTACGGTGGAATATTTTCGGAGGTCTCTTTTTCTTCTCGAATAAATTATTCATGACCCCGTTGGCTGATTAATTGCGTCCTTAAGCTGAAGGATTATTAAGATAAATGATGTCCGTAAAGAAAAGAAATATTTTTTTCTGGTATCAACGACGAGCATTGACAAATTATCGTGACAAGAAATATATATAAATATAATAACAAGAAATTATATTGATATGATATTCATACAAGAAAATTAATTTCAATGTGCACCGTTTAATTTAAATGGCAAGACAAAACTAATTATCTTGATTACATGTAATTTAATACAAACGAAAATAGTGATAAGATATTGATAATAACAATTATAAATAACATTCTACTTGAAAATATATAGATATATTAGAACTTCCAATTCTAAAAAAATATTTAAATCGAGAAAGGACCAATTATTGTAACAGAATAATATTTTTAGTAAAATAATTATGTATTTTAATGAGAGTTTAGTTATTTCAAAAGCGGAGACTGCTTCAAACATTCCGGCACCAGTGCATATGATAATGAACAAGAAGGATACATTACAACCTAGTTGTAAAATTCTATTATTACTTTGAATTCAAGTGTTACGGAAAATATGACAGCAGAACAAATGAACATCCGTTTCTGAGCTTTCTTTTTGTATCGGTATTACTTCTGCTCAGGTACTAAATTATAATTTACGAAACTTTTGCAAAGGTACATATGTCATACATATGTCATAATATCTGGATTTCGGCTCACTTTATTTACGAATGTATTTTTAATGAAAGAACTAGTTTCATTTTTAGTACTGTCGAGTATTTTATTTATGGCGAATAAATGATTATTTTTTTTCCTCATGTACAAAACATTTTTACGACCTCACATTTTTAATATTATTTCAAAGTACGATTAGTATGTATCTAGTATTGTTTGTTGTTTTTTTTTAAATCTTTTTTAAATTCTTTACAATATAAATAAACATTAGAGCATTTATAATTTTCCAATAATTTTTATAAACATGACCTTTCAATTATCAAATGGTTCGAAAAACTAAAGAATTAATTCATGCCTAAATGGCACAATAAGCATTTATAATAATTTATAACAATGGAAAATTCACTTGAAGATAATCCTTCAGTTCTGCGAAATGCCTTCGAGTGGCGATTAGTAGCAGAAAATTTTAAGTAGTTCAAGATACCAAGATTGTCGAGGTCCTTTTTGTAAATTTCACATCTTAACGAAAGTTTAGTGCGAACTTTATGATCGTTCGTTGCATAAATGTTATCAACGGGTTTCCATGAAAGTTTTGTACCGTCCCAACGCGTACGTTAATTCTCAGCAAAGTTGAGTTGCGTTACGCTTCCAAAGAAGTTGCACTTTGTTAACGAAACTTCACATTGCTCGTCGATAGAAAATTATCGTATAGGTGTACAAAGTGAGAATATGTTGAAGGCTTGTTGTTGAAGCTTTGAAGTAAGAAAGCTTGTTGTTGATCGTTCAGCTTTCCTCTGGGTTTTTCATATGACGCGGACATTAGTAACAGCTATTGACTGCTTGACTATCTCTGAGTTGATTAAAATGATAGCAACAGTGTTGCGCACAATTTGGGGAAATATAGTTATCATTCTAATTAACGCATGCTACATAGTTTGAATAACATAATATTTTACATGGGAAGCGTAATTTTGAGAAATTAAATATTTATATTCTGATAACCTGAGGCATAAAATAAAATATTTTGGTGCTTTAAATATTGCTTGACAATAAAGCTAAGTCGTGGAAAAAAATAATATACCGCAAGTATTAATAATTCATATTATGATTACATAATAATTGTGTTACGTATTTGTAGTTCAACTTGGAATTCCATGAACTAACTAGAAATAAAATATTTTAAAATAAAGAATGACTTTAATAGAGGGTGACTTTTTAATTATTTTTAATTTTCTTTCTTACCCATCAACAAATTATTTTAAGGGGCCGTAAATTATTCTTTAGACTCTAAAGTTTAGAGGGTCTATTTTCGTTGGTCGAAATGTAGATGCCGACGGAGCCGAGAAACGTTTCCCTTACCGTGCGGTATTCCGTGAAACCAAACATTCTTGCTTCCATTAGTAACAAGTCCGATGTACGGTGAGTCAACATAGTAAAAGACAAGATGAATTGTTGAAATCCAATGACAGAGCATCTACAAATAATTGTTATCAATGGAAAACCTTGAAATACTATATATATAAATGTATGCATATAAAACTATATATTTCAATACATAAAATTGAAAGTATTTTATCGCATTCGTGAATAATTTATTGCGTATCTAACTGCTAATTTACCCATACTCCAATCAACTATGTATATTATTCTCTTTATCTACATACACTCCACCTTCAAGTTATACAGACCACAGTAACTTTTGATATAATGGTGTATTCCTGCCACGTGTCTTATCTTATGAGGAAAGTTCTATACACTTTCGTCATATGAATATCTGCAATTGCTCAACTGTAATTAATGTTTGTTTGAAAAACAAAAATCACTGTGTGCTTTGATATCGATTACCGAGGAAACATGTTAAGAACAAGTTAGTCGGTGGACTTTCCAGAGCAGTATCTATTTGGCGCTATTAAAATAATGTTGTGAAACCCAAATAATATCTGTTCCCAATTTGTATCATTTTCGTATTCACAAAATAAAATTTTGATGCTTGACATAGTGCGTTGAAATTAAAATTGTAACGTTATATCGAGACGATATTTCTGATGGTTGGCTAAATCCTACTCAGCACGAAACATACATTTTTATCTTCTTGGCATATCTGCTTATAGCAATTTTCCTCTTGCAGAATATGAACATGGAAACGTCAATTTGCAATCACTAATTAAATGTCTACGATATTACCGACGAATAATGCATCGTATTCTCAGAGAACATATCTCATCGATATACCTGTTACAAAACGAACTGGGGCTCCGCTGTGTTCAATTTACTAGAATGTTTTGCAGATCGGGTAATCAAATCGTAATTAAAAGTGTATTCCAAGCGGAAATGGAACGCTAGAATTTGCAACGATTAAATGCTTACGAACGCTATCTCACGGTGATCAACTTTTGATCCGTATCAAGCGGTGATTGCGATACAGCGATGCTGCCATAAAAAACTCGTTAACAACTCAATTTACAATCCTTCATTCCAGTTTCTTCCGTTTCTTTTTTTTTACAGGCAAAAGAGAGTGGAAAAATTATATTTAGGAAAAGATCGTTTGACCAGTTGAAGTTCTACAATGAATCTCGAAGAGGAGAATAAATTTATTATAGTATAATTTAAATTGATTTTCAATTCGAACTGAGAGTGAATTTGTTTTTTACATGATTTTATTCTTCATCGCATCTACTGCTTGATAATTAGCGACGGATTTAATTGAATTTCGGTTTAATTAGCGGTACTACATACTATTGTAGAGTTTAGTATCCTTGAGATAGTTGATGGTGTTTTGTACATGTTTCTGGTATATTAGAGCTGTCTCTTGATTCCAGTTGTACTTCCTTCTCCGTAGCTCAAATCTTCTACACTCGTACAGTAGGTGGTCGATTTTAATTTCCTTATTACAGTAGTCGCAGTGGGAGGATCCGTTTTCTTTAGTAGATGTGGATGTGTGATTTTTGAGTGTCTTGTTCTCAATCTAGTTATTATTACTTTTTCTCTGCTGGCCATAACGCTTTAGGATACTGATTGGTAAAAGTCGCGTGTTAAATTATCAGTTAGAAATCAATGAGTATACTCTTTACGTCTCTATTATTGGTTACAATTACAAAGTATGTTTACCGTGTATCTACGTCATGTACATCGATTACTTCACACCAACAATCTGTAATGACTCACTTAACTCGCTTAACTATATTTATTTTAACTACTATCTGTTTTCAGCTACCACTATTCACTTCTTCTATGAATGCATAGGCGTATAAACATTCTGGCAGCAATAACCAGAAAAATGACGCATACATTTACATTAACGATGCAAAGTGTCGTTATTACGAATCCGGGTCTTGTACCTGCTTCGATCAATTAATGCCGTCTCAGCTCTCTATCAAAATCTCGTGACCACAGTGGCCGCTGTCTACAAAAGAAATATTTTTTAGCCAATGCAATACGTCAGGTATCTGATGAACGTGCGAGGTAAAAGAGGGAACCGCAAAGAAGCATCCTGGACTCATCAATCGACTGTCCGAAGCAAATGGAAAATTACTCTTTCGTTTATAGGTTTTCGCGGTTAAGTGGTTGCAGAAGTTAAATAGGAAGCTCTGGTCGCTGGCGAGTGGAATGAAATTCAGAAAATTAAACGCGACCGAAATCACTATTTTTTTATCGTGTTTGGCATCATGAAGACCGGTGGAGTTGGGAAGAGAAGGCGAAGGAACGATATGGACTGAATTGTTCTATTTATTCGAGATCAATCATTCCTTACGAGGAATTTAGGTTTAATTTGGTCTATTAGCAGCAAGGTAAACCGTAAAGTCAATAATACTTTGTGATATTAAGTACACTTATGGTTGTAACGAGGAATTATTTTTTTTCAAAGTGTAATTCTCTCATGTAATATTTAATTTAATTTATATATTTGTTCAAGCAACAAACATATTTCTTTTGGAGTCGTCTTCGGAAGATTTATTGTAAACTCTTACAAAGATTTTGAATGGCTCGCAATAACATAGTCAATCATTTTGTTGAAAATAAAACCATGTAATCAAGATAAATGAGTACAGTAAACTCATTAAAATTCTGCGCGTCAATGTAGATGAGTAAATTGTGCATCGTGATTCATTATATCATATCTTGTATTCGTATAGAACGTAGAATCGTATTAGAGCATCACTTTACCTTCGCATGTTTACTTCAATAATTATGGTTAGTAATCACTGGAAGAATTCCAGAATTTAGAATTAGACTTCGCACACATATTTTCCAAGTCTTAATTATACTAACGGTGCTTGCTGCAATTAGCACAGTTTTCAATTGAGAAAATTAAAAAATTTTATTGTTGTATTCACTAGGAATATTTCTCGATACTTTGAATAACATATTAAATAAAACAATCGAATATATTCGAATATAGAAATAATCATATAATCGCACCAAGATGAAAAGGGCAAAGTTCAACGAAGAAACCTGACCTAAATTGTACAATCTAATCCCGTTGTGAAATAATAATCAAAGTAGACTTAACGGCGTGCTTAACAGTGTGTTTAACTCTGATGAACGACATATTCGTCTACAATAATTTGGGATTATATACACAAGGGATTTCCATGAGTCAGTTAAGCGCGCCGTTTCAATGAATCGATGAAAAACTGCGCCATTACCGTCGGAATCGTAATATTCCTTCCAGTTAATGTTTACAGACAGTAAAATATGTTCTCGCTGGGCAACGTTTCATTTGTTTCTGGGAATTCCCGCGAGACAACGCAACGCGTTCATTTATGACGTCTCAACTTGCCAGTTACACGTCAGCGCATGCGTCAAGGTCATGGTCATTGAACGAGGATAGTGCAATCGGGTGAAGATCGTTAGTATTATTCACGAGCGAACACAACCGATTCTTTCAATGTTAATTAAACGAGAACAGAGTGATCGTATTTGTTATATAATATATAAACGTATCTTATGGTTTTTATAACTGACCAGTACAAATATGAAGAACATGTATAAATATATCTAACTACCCATCTAGATATGAAGTTTTCACCTGAATAAAATAAAAGACTAATATTTTATCTAGAAATATATAACATTATATTCCATTATATAATTCGATAGTAAAGTTTACTTTTGAAAAAGTAATGAAATAAATTTTAGATGATTCGATTTCATTTATATTTAAAAATAAAAATACTTCTGTCGAATATACAGGATATTTCCCAACATGTACCTTTAGCAATCGAGATCACTCAAAAGATTTGCTTTTGTCCACAAGCTACAGCCATTCCTTTTGTGTATTTCGTACTTTCCAATCTGAAACTGAGTCAGTGTAACTGGTTCTCCCCAATTGTTTATACGCAATGTTCGGAAGTTCCACGTTTTCCTTAACGATGGATTAACAGGTCAATCGGATGTCAGTTTCTTAAGTAATTATTTGCGTGAGTTATTGAAAGTTCCACTAGATGTTGTACCGTCGCATGTGATTTATGCATGACGGTTCACCGCCACATTTCAGCTGAATATACCAGACAGTTCTTGAACGAACGATTTTCTAACAGATGGATAGGTCACGCGGGATCTATTGCCTGGCTTGGTCGTTTTCTAGATTTAAATCCGCTGGATATGTTTTTGCAGCCATTTCCAAACATTTATTTACTCAACACTCACTGGTGGTGGCGATACACTTCGTCAACGACGTTTATTTGTTCTGCAAGCCAACTAAAAGTAGGTGTGATATTTTTGAAAAGCTAGTCAGTAATTGTTTTATAAAAATGTGATTTTAATGTCCATGCCCATAACTTCAGTTAGTCCTTTATAAATTAGGTATTGAATAGTTTTACGCATTGTGCCAAAACAGGGTAATGAGCATAAGATTTTCTGACAAATTCGCAGAAGGCCACAGTTGATAAATAATCCTTGAGGACGAAGGGCAGATTAAGAATACTGGTTTTTCATACCTGACCTAGAGTTACGAATAAGATGTCCATAATTAGACTGGCGTCAGAATGACTGCTTGGGAGTACAATTACTTTGAAGGTACCTGCCATACCTGTGCGTCAGCAATATCGGACCAAAAGTAATCGATTCTGCCTTGGAAACGGTGAAAGTAACCGACCCTTACCTTAAGTGCTCAATGACGAGCTTGTAACAAAAAAGAAAACAATTATAGTATTACTGGCAGCTGTACAGAAAAGTAGGTAAACATATAAACAGCTAGCTATCAGCACTTGAATGGAAACAAACATTCATTTTATTATTTGTTCAAAAGGTAACTTCGTCATAGTGTACAATTTTTAAACTAAAGAATTTTAAGAACTACTACAAAAATTAATTCTGAAAGTCAAATGTCAAAGTAAATAAATTTGAATGAAATTCTTAAATTTCGATGAAGTTACATAAACAAACAGCACAATAAATGTTTGATTATGGAGTTTCCAATTGTCTGTAAACAAAATTAAATTCCAACAGAAATTATCAAGAGTACTTTCTTGGCAGTCAACGTGTTAAACGTTTTTATTTATACAACTACGTCCGCACTTGCCGATGAATACTGAATTCTGTCTGGTTCTTGGGTTTTTCCGGGCTTTTATATTGCTTGGAGGATGAGTGATGTTAAGGACAGCGGTCAAAGGAAAATACAAATAAGAAATGGTACGAAGTACAGGATGAGTGAGGAACTAGGGACCGAGATTAGGATGTTTGGTTGAGGACGAGTCTATGGTCTTTGTCATGTTTGTGATTAGTTGCGTTGATCATCCAACAATATATAAAAATGTAGTTCTAAAAAATATAAAATTCCTAAAGAATCTTTCTTTAGTTTAACAAATTTTTGTCCAGGGGATCTCACCTAAAGGTAAGTAGCTCTAGCTGTCCAAAAGCATCAACGTCATTCTCATCAAAGACTCCATATCAAGGCCAGTGTTTGATCACGTGGTCAATGCCTCCCTGTTACGCACGGATTAATCGCATAAACTAGATGCCCCGTCGTCGGGAGTTCCATCTATAGAACGTTTCCCGGCGCTATCCAGACGTAGATATAAATACGTTCTTTTATTTCCCTGGAGAGGTCCGAGAGGATGCTGAAACGCGACGCGGCGCTTCGAAAATGTAGTCCTCTCACGATCAGACCAGTTCTCTAAGAGGTGATCACCGGCTGCTTCGGATTAATCCCTTCCCTCGTTGGCTGCCTCCACCCCCTTCCTACGCCATCCGAGGAACTGATGACACGTCTAGAAGGAGACGACACGCACAGGTCTTCTTTCTCGCGCCTTCCACCTCCTTGGGCCGGATCCTTTCAAGCTGCCTGGCGTAGATTAACTTTTGATACGAGACCTCGCAGTCTCCGAGCGAGCCTCGATTCGTACGCGCTGGCTGAGACACGTCCTCGTCATCGCCGTTGTCGCGCTACCGATTATCAAATCTCTATTAGCGACAGCGAATCACTCGTAAAACGAAACTTTACTGTCCGCTTTCTCGGCCGCGTCTCAGGGAGCCCCGAAGGCGCCGCGACGGAAGCCAGCGAAGGATAAAGGGCGGAGAACCGGAAGAACAGGGTGGAAATAAACGGGCAAACGTGAGTGCAAAGTAATCGTTAATCTTGTTGCCGGGGCTAGAAGCGTGGGAAGTGCGAGTTTAATCTAAATTATGGAAAACGCTTTGCATCTCCAGCAGGCGCTTTAGGGCTTCTCGCCCGCGCGCGTAAAGCGCACCGCCAACGCGCCGTTTTATCGCCGATTTTGAGGCGGACGTGATGGCAGTCGGATGAAAATCGAGTGGTATTTCCAGGCGAGAGACGAAACTCTGATACAGAGATTGCTGTAGCTTTATCTGTAACTCTGATAAGTGTCTCACTTGTCGAGTGGTGAAACCGAGTAGCTTAATGACGAAATGCACTGTGGTCTTCAAGTAATAAATATTGACCAGGTGATTTTGATTCGATTATTTTGGAATAATAAATATTGAGTGGTCTGGTGATTTGTTTTTATTCCACTATGGAATCTGCTGTACCTATTTATCTATTGTACCTATGATTGAGAATAAGGATTTTGTGACAGGTTTATTGCTCCTAACACATTCTGCGCGAACAGTTTAATTTAAAAAGGTATTGATGCGTAGATGTACAATTTCAATGATGGAAAATATAGAGAATATTAATATCAATATTCGCTCGAATGATATCATTTTTCTCAAAATTTTATCCACATTTTAGGTGGATGCTCGTAATATAAATAAAATACTATAAAAAAGCATTGATTTTTTGCTATTTTTGAAAAGCAGTATTATATTTAAAATCTCTCTTGCCTCCTATTGCAACTTATGGTACGCTCGATTCCATCGCTGTAGGCGATTCAGTGGTAACCCGTTTATGTCACAAAAGGACGTTTGTTGCCACTCTAAGAAACGAGAAGGTGATCGATGAAACACAATGTCGGTTTGCATTATGTTCGATGCGAAATGTAGAGCCGCGCGGCAACAAACATGATGAATTATTCGAAGTTTATGCGAATTTATATAGAGTTACCACCTTTTTTGTTATCGTGTTCGTTTCGAGCGACGGTGATCAATTGTCGCGGGGTATCGTTGCGTTTAACCGGTGCGAACTCATTTTTAATTCCTTGCTTCGAGAATAATTTATGGATACCTGCAGTGAGATAGACGTACAATGAGACTCCCGAAATGACTTGTCAAAGAATATGACGCACGCGTGGGTACCCTTTTGTTTCTCTAAATATTTTACCGATTTTTTGGATACATACAATGAAATAGAACGAAATTTATTTGCGAGGAATAGTTATTTTTCTACAGATTTGAGTTTCAATATGAGTTTAATCGATGAATTAATGTTAATTTTTCTTGTCGTAAAAGCATTATGAGAAACCTGTTTATTAATCGGCAACGTCTCTGTCGAAATTGAAGGTTCCCATATGGGTGACTTCATATATATTCTAAAAATTAACACAAACATGATAAAAAATCTTGAATTCCAGTGTGGGCATAACATTAAAAATAGCACTTGTATAAGTAGGAGCGCAAAAAATATAAATGCTTAATAAAGGCTAAATAACAAGACACTTTTAACGAAAGAATTCGGTCACCGTTAATTATGTAGTGTTATTACAGAAAATATAATTGTAATAGGTTCTAGTACTGATTAATTCGACAAAATCTAAAATCCTTACGAGAAGTTCAATGTTGATATTTTTAATTAAAATATTGATATCCTTTCAATGTAAAATCTGCAAAAATTGTAAATAAATAAAAGAAATTGCAGAACCGCGTATTCGAGCAACGCGATTTTAATAACTTTTGCTCAGCCAGGAAATAGCTGGAAGAATAATGGCGAAACCCAATTATCGAATAACAACGACGCGAACATTTTTCCAGTGATACAAGTTTATTGAAACAACAAATCAGCGAACGTTGGGTTTTAAAAATTACGTTATACATTCGTGGGGGAGGCGCGGAGCGATAAATTATTTAAAAAGCCGTTACGTGTATTATAATGGATGCCTTTCACGCTGCTCTCCTCTCGAGGAATTCTGATAAAGGACGAGAAGAATTGTCCTCGGGCGAATTCCCGTCTCCGACAAGAGTTACAATTAATTGCTATCTACACGCAATAAATTGCCAGGGAGGGCGCGCGAGGAACGATGATAATGTAAAAGCTTTGCGTGGCCTATCTTCTTGAATCGTCGGTCATTGTATCGTCCAGAAGAGTTGAAAACTTACTTTTAAAATTATTGCAACCTCCACACCTGCAGAGTCCGGTGGCGTTCCTCCCTAGACTGCGCAACAAATTCCGGATAAGGGATTTCTGTATGTGTGACTGTCTAAAATGTTTTTACAGGCGAAGATAACACAGTTACTTTATCAGGCTAATTTTGGTATTGGGTATATGAAGGTTTTATAAATAAGTGTAAGATAGTTAAGATGTCAAATTAACTCTGTTTGATTTTAATGGAACTTACTAACCTTACAAAAATATTTTTAGAGTGAATAAAAGTAGGCGTGAACCTTTGTGTTATTGAGTTTGTAACGTTATTTGAAATATTTAAATTATAAAACCATATGCTTCACTTATTTTGCCACGCCATTGCAAATTCACCTGGAGGATTTAAGCATTTGAAATCCAACAGTATAACCACCAGCAGGAGTTATTGGCCAGCTTTTGTGCAATAATAACAAAGAAATTTAAGAGCCACGATTTGGGCAACCTTCTCCACACTAGTTTTCACGTAATAAAATTCACAAAACGTCCGAAGCTTTGCCGTGTCCAGACTAGAATGCCCCTTAATCCTCGTGGGGCGAGGACACTTCGAGCTAAGCAACGTTGGCTTCAACGCTTTATAGGTGGGCGTAAAAATTTACGTCCAACCTGGTCGCGGGGAACGGTTTTCCCGTTTAAGTCAAGCTTTACAGCGGCTTTTCGAACTCGTGCCAGGTAGCGCGCGACGTACACAAGTTTTATCGTCGATACGCCGGAAGCGAAAGAGCAAGGAGACCCCAAATTGACGCGTAACAAGTCGACCGCGCCGAATCTCATTCGTACGCCGTTGCAGCGAAGCGGCTTTGTCTCGGATGGAAAATTAAATTCAAACTTTCCGCTGGCTTGAACCCTCTCCCCCTTTCTCCTCAGCCTTCGTGGAAATTTCGTGAACGCGATAGCGAAGAAACAATCGTCCTATCTTTCTTCCGTGCCATGGTACACGGTGAATTCGATATAATCTCTTTCTTTCTCCGTGTGGCCTCGGCTCGCGGCAACTTTATCGCGTTAGAGAAGTTCGTTCATTTGCAAAAAGAGCCCGGGGAACGTTTACGTATTGGTTAGGAAGAACGTGTACTCTCGATGCTGGTATTGTATCGTTTCTCCTACGTGGGTCATGTATGTAGAACATCGATTTAAGGAGAAACGACATCTTTCGGGTTGAAAAAAAGCGCTGATAATTGGGAATATATATATTTAAGGGTGGTAATGTAGAACACTCAGTCGATAAGAGAAATCGCTCTGATGGCAATGTAGAACACTCTGTTGATAAATTCTTTTCATCAGAGTTCTACCTTACCAAGTTTTGCTAAAGAAACGCAATGCATTATCGACTATCCTCTTTCTTACTAACCGGACTTCAAGAATTTTTTATAACAATGTCATACGTCCGATAAAATGAACTCTATTTCTATGGATAAAGCGTATAATAAACTTTCAAACAAATATCTTCACGTTTACGTTAGACGCAAGGAAACAAAGTAGTGTTGTTTGCCTCTGTATCATAAAGAATTGGAAACTTTTCAGTGACAATCTCAATAATGGCATTGTCGAACGTAGAATAAGAACAATTACACATTTCCTAACGCAATTAACCGCATGTCTTGGGCAGAACGGAAACTCTTGTAGCAACGGAACGAGTTTCCAGAACTTCACTCCGTTATGTCGCCTCCATCGCGTACCAGTAAAAATTGTATTGCGTTTTTCTGGGTTTTTGTTCAAACTAACTTCTGGATGGCGCAAACATAAGCATAACCTAGTAGTGAATGTACCAGAGAACTGAGTTTTGCTTATGGTTTTGAAAAATATTTTATGGAGACATTAGAATTATTGTGTTGAAGTTTGCCTGAAGATGTCACGATTCCTGAGTCGTTTCACTAGGTTTCTCAACTCGTACAAGCAACGATTTATAAACTCTTGCGTAACATGTAACTAAAGAAGACTGGTTTTACTTCTTCAGGAATGGATGACGTATAGTAAACAAGCTGCAGTGCATGCAGTATGCATTTGGAGTTCGCGAAAGTTGTGGAGAAGTGTCCAGACACAAAAGGTCTTGTTTTCCCCTCTAAAATTTCGATTGTTTATTATCTGCACAGTATTGTAGCATCTTTACTGACTTACTTAATTTCTTCTTAATTTTCAATGGAAATAATGTATCGGTATTGTAGTCTCATAATTCGTGTCTTATAGTAAAATCCTAGATCATCACCTTGCAGCCACTATGTTAGTAATTGCTTTTATGTTAATATCTTATTCATGTTTTCAAAGTCAAGACCAGCTGTCATGGTTGGATGAAAGTTTCAGATAATTTCAAGACTCCAGGTAGCTGAGGAATCGCTAATATACCTGACCCTAGCTAAAATTGCTCACCTGCTCTAAACACTCCAATCTCAACACTCCCCTTTAGGAAGCTCTAACCTTCCTTTATGACTTCATATCTTCGACGAGGATTGCTAAACCCTTGTTTTCGTAAATACAAAATCATGCTGATGGTGATACATCCAGCAAATTAGTGGCTAAAGTGTTCTCCGTGGATTTCCATACTACATCTCACACGACGTACAACTTTGGGGTTGTTTGAAATCTAGAGCAAGATTGCACATCCTTGGTTAGGCCACTAACGAGTATTTCATAGCAAGAAGTCGCTAGACTACACCCTGAAAGCTTCGAATATTTTATCCACACAGGAATAATCAGTAAAGAACTCGAAGCTTCGCAAGTCCAATTAATAAGTACACCGGGGCGCAGGAATAATTAGCAATTGGCATTCGGACTTACTGCTTCGCCAAGTATGCAATTTCACGCGCTTTGACGACCTTCGATATCATTTTACGGAATGATTCAGCATTTCCCGATCATTGGAACGTAAATCCTGCTTACGAGTGATGCTGCAAGTTGTCGTGTCAAACGATAGCGCGGCTATGCTCATCCGAATAGCTTGAAACGATACTAATGAACGGTTTAATAAAAGTAAGCGTGTATCGTAACGACTGCACCGTGAAATGTTGTAATTCTCAAAGGTATTTATTATTTCACACTTCGTTTATCGTTGTTTCGATCCGCGAGCTTAAATCAGACCTTCGCCAACTCTAACGAACTCTGAGCGCGTTATCAGAGCCATTTTAATTTACCGTCGACTAGTTATCCAACGGACATGTTATAGAATATTGGAACTATACACAAAGGATGTCGTTTTTGTATTTTTTATTTAATTTGTTTTGGTTGATTGTGACAAATCTTAAAACTAAAATTTCACTTATCAAATATTGTAACACCCAATCAGTGTGAAATGTTGCAAACATGTTCGGTTGAAGCATACGAATTATTAACTGATGCATTACGAAGTATAACATAGTAAACACAATTATTAAAGCAAACCTCATATGTTCTTTCCAAACTACAAATTTTTTAAGCATATCACAAAATGAATTTCCTTTGCGTTTCATGAAGTATCTGTGTGTCGAGACTCGGTATATAAAACCATTATCACTTTATGGCAAGATTGATGCAAAGATACTCTATGAGATGCAAAGTGACCTCATCTTCCATTCAGTATAATTTTTCATCTTAAGGTAATCTCATCTTCTATTCCCCGTAAGTGTCTTTTTGAAAAAACAAACAAATATTTACAATGAAATATGTATATTAGCATAAAGACATTGTTTATCGACTGGTATCTTTGTTTGCAGGATCAGTGGATCACAGGATTACAGTTTTCATCGAGGATCGGTAACGATGCGTTTCACGACGTTGATATCAGCGTTGAGCCTGTGTGTCCTTTGCATCCTTATCGATCGTACCAGCGGGTTCAGTAGGATTCTGGATAAGGATATCATCTACTCCCCGGAACAAGTAGAGTACATCCAACTATCCACTGCGAGATGTCCTGATAACACGATCCTGTGGCTGGGTGACCGTCGGTGTTACAGAGAGGGTGAACAAGGTCCCTGCAACATCGGGCGAGTGCTGGTCTTGCATCCGCTCTATCTGAAACCTTTCTGCAAGGATGTAGCGTTGGAGTGAAACGATTATCGTACAAGATGTTTTTTATCGACTGCGTGCAACTCTGCCAAAGATGGCAGCACGTATACAAAACTACTGTGTGCTCAATCAAGAAATTATTATTATTAATTTTAGAATAATGAAAATTGCGTCCCACCGTTTCGTCGTTATCATATTTAATTATTTAATGGCATTCTTTTTGTTTTCATTAAAAAAGAATCGATTCATTCTGTTATACGATTGATTCCTATTTAGCTATATTGTTTAAATTTCGTGTAGATTAATTTCAAATGGCGCCAAGTACTTACGTTTGAAAACTTGACTCTTGTGTTGTGAATTTAGAGGAATCTGAAAGACCTCGACGTTCTGGAATTGTTCTAGGTTTCGTTATAATGTTTTTAAAAGACGCTTTGTTAAGACTTGAGTAAATGATTTCATCAAATATAGGTAATAAATTCGCAATGCTTATATTTTCTATTTAGTTGCTTTTTTCAATTTTAATTTAGCGTAAATTCGAATACGTTTCTTATTTAAAACGTGCACAACTAATATTATTATAATGAATAGTTGAAAACGACTTTATACTTAGGTGATATTCGAATGTAAATACAAAAGTGACGGAATAAAAACTGTTCAGCTGATAAAAGTTATAAACACAGAATAGAACTGTTTGGGTAAATCAACTATAAAAATCACTTTCACTTATTATTAATTTTACTTATATCCTTCAATGTTTTTGAGTTTTTCATTTAATTTTGAATCAGCTTTTAATAAATTAATCGAAATGCAAAATAAATAAAAGAATTTTATTACTAAATAAAATAAGCGGTTAAGTGAAAAAGTTCTACTGTTTTCAAGTAACTTGAACCGTTTTTAGGGGTCAGACGCGCAACTTCAGAACCCACATCTATGTAAATATTTCTTATTTTGTGTACGATCTTTATTTATTATCATCTTGTACGAGGTAATATCAGTATTAATAACAGTTACGGAATGCTCATATACTCGTTATGACTTACTGAAGTCTGTGAAATGTTTAAATTATCTCACCAATGTAGATTTATAATGTTTAATTAAACCATAACAATTTGCGTATCTTCAGTACTGTATTTATTATGTATCATTTCAGTGTCTTATATAATAGAATTAGAGCGATATCACTAACATTTGTTACGAATGAATTAAAATTTCTGTTGAATAATCTCAGAGTTTCATTCTTCATTCGCTCATAGTATAATACATCAACTCACACTACGATTATCAGGAATTCGCAACATACATCTTCTAAACTTCCGAATGATTTAATGTGGCCCTCGATAAGGTACGATACTCTCTAGAGACTCAGCAACGTAGAACCCCTTCTGGACGAAGATTTTATCAACAGAGTATTCTATCTTACGAGTTCTGCCAACACAGTACTCTACTTTAACGACAGAATGCTCTTTCTTACCGATCAAATACTCTCAATCTTGCTTAAATTGTGTACTTTTAATATAAATTCTGGAAATGATTATTCTGCTTAGTAGGAATTATTTTGTACCATCTCACGTATTTGTTTAGTCCTACGTAGAAGAGTCAGACTGATGATACTACCATTTCATTACTCTCAAAGTTTAATCCACGATCTATTTCTAGTTATATAACAAATGATATCAGGTAGATCCTAAGAGTATTCCAATCACTAATAGTTATCTCGAACCTTCCTCAACCCTGTCTTACTTGTTTGCGTAGCCATTTCGTGTCGAGAATAACAAGGTATCTATTAACTCTATTTTAAGAATGAGATTGCTACCCGGTAATAGGCTCGATAACCTCGTCGGATTTTCGATCTTCAATCTGGTGCGTGTACAAACAAGGTACAATCGAGTTTACTTTGTAGAATCCCTTGGCGCACTTCTGCATCGAGGGACATCAATACTCCTCGCCGTGATACAACTTGGTCGATATGTACTCTATTCTGTTCCAGCGTTAATTGCTTGTTTACGGCGGTGGAATAATTTTCAATCGATCCGGGAAACTAAGTGCGATTAGTAAACAAATCTATGGTTCCTCTCAGCGAATAAAAGTAGATTGAGAACTTTCTAACTACGATCATTGATTGAGAATTGAACAGCCTGATTACGAAGTTTGTGGTCAATTGTAAACTTTAATGAATTCATACTTGATAGAATCATTGCTACATTGTTAATAGTATTTAAATATTTGATTCCTGATTCTTATTGTTTTCCGTTTTGGTTTACAAAACTTGAGCTTATCACTATATAACTAAATATTTTGGTACTACTTATTTACAGGCTTCTTCTTTCAATTCAATTAATTGTATATCTATACTTTTGTCGTTAAAACAAAAACAGTTGATACTAGATGATAGATAGTGGTACTTGGCAGCACAACTATTGAATAATTTAAAATATAAGTGGTAAAATATTCTGCAAAAATTTTTCCACAATCATAAACTCAAGTTGAAAAGTTTATGCAAATGTTGAAAATTTCGCGAACGTGAGAGAATAAGAACGAACATCTCTTGAAGATTACACAATTCTATTTTACTGCGCGCACTTAAATCACGTACTGCTGTACGTCATTCAATCCTCCGAATCCCTAAAACCCTACCAGAGCTTACGAAGACGTTTGGAATACGTTCCGCACCTCCGGTCACTGTCATTTAAATCTTTGGATTAAAAGGTGCGACAAGAAAGCCTGAAGACATTCCTCGTTTGCTTCGCACGAGGACCGATTTTCACGAGGTGCCTCATCCATTCGACTTTCCGCATTCGTGCTTTCCCCGACGAAATTTACTTTCAAAAAAGCGCTAAGTCTCTCGGGAATTTGCTGTTCACGTTTGACTTGAAATAACTGTAAGCCGTTTTAGGATTGTAAAAAGCTGTGGTTTAAGGTGGACAGCGAGCTGGCAACGTAACTCAGAGTGCTTCTTCACGGAATCCAGTCTGGAGTCCAAAAAGTGGAATATTTGAGATTTTTTAGATGAAAGAACTAAATATTTTAAATTTTGTGTGTATGTTCACTTTTATTTGGATAAAATACATATTAAATCCTAATTTATTTAATATTTTCCTAAAAATTATTGAATTTGTAACACATTACTTTCAAGCCTTATTGCTTTCTCGAGTATCTAAATTTCTTAAATACTTTTGAAAATTCTTCAGGATGAACATTATTCGCAACATAGTTTAGTATTCTACATTTTCTCGATTGAAAGTCTACGGAACCTGAAGGATTCCATTACAGTGTCATCGTTCGAGTAATTTATTAAATATTTGTTATTCGGTAAAAATGCGAAGTGGTCGTCAATCATAACGATGCGGAGTGTTCCGGCTGGATCGATTATTAAAGAGCTGAAAATGAAATAAATCTTTGCGTATAAAGATCCGTGGAAAGGAGAGACGAAGCCCTGGCGTCCGCAATGCGATCGTTTGTCACGAAATCCTGTCGTCAAGCTGCTTTTTGTGTCCGAGCGAAGACGACGATAACACGAGGCTCAATTCGCTGGATTTGATTTAACAACGGAAACTTAGCCACCGTTCACGAAGCTGCTATGATGTCCTCCGTTTAGGTGATTCTATGGTTAATAAATTAGGTATTCTGAGAAAAATAATTGTAAGACATGAAATGTATACAAATAATTATTAACTGCTTGGAACACACGATTCAATGTAAATTAAACGATATTCTTGCAATTATTTTCTTAAAAACGAAAAGGGACATTGACCATTTATATTCATGATATACCCAAATATTCCAAAATTTCATTTTAATGTCATCGATACATTTTGGGAAAACGAATACAATGTATTCGCAGAAAGTGCCAGTTACTTTTGAAAAAATAAATCGAAACCGTACAATATCAATTTCTCATACGAGACTGCGTTTTCGACTGGGCTGACGAGTCCAATACAGATTATTTCTATCTGTGTCGGTATACGTAAACATTTACGATGGTATGGTATTATCTGCTTTAATTTGCTCTGATTTATTGAAAGATAGTAAGATGGACAGAATTCAAGCAATACTGTACCAGCGTTAATATTAACAAACATCAACACGAATGGAAATAGTGAATAATGGAGCGACTATTGAATCCCATGCTTACCCAATGAATTTTTAAAACTGTTTTCCTCGGAAACGGTGCCTTTGGTGGCGATATTTCAATATAAATTTTCAATTCGTGCTACATGTGGAATTCCATTTTTTAGGTGTGCTACCAGATTGAATTGTTTACATATCCTACCCTGCTTTTTAAAACAAAAAATACTATTTTTGAATGCCAGTTATCGTATTCAAGTATGTATATTGTCAGTAACATCACATTAGAATTATAAGACGGTATTCGTTGTCACTTTAAAACGATTAGTTATCATTATTATATATTATTCTCGACATAGATGACTACTGTTAATGATGTAGTATTATATCGAAGACATGATATTGTTACATATCAGTTTAATGGGATTAGATATTATTAATCGATGTTACAAATTGAATACACTTCATAATCAATATGCAACATGCAATATATTACATTGATAAATTATTATACCCTCATTAAAGTCATACTAAACTGCTGACGTGTTACTATTACGTGTCCACATTCCAACTTATAAGGGAATGTGTGTCTACAAAAAAATATTAGTCGACTGATAGTCTCCATAAACGATCCCTCGAATAGCCCTCTACGTTAAGATCTTGCGCCCCAGCCCAAAAGCTTTTACCTAATAAATATTATACTCACAGCCTGAGAAGGCATCTACTACCACAAGTCGATCTATTCGAATAACAGAACATTCATACCATGATATTCATTCACTGGGTGTCGCAAGATACAAAAAATGCAGTTCAAAGAACTCTCACTACCGAACCAGGACCATTGCTCCACTCACAATCAGCTTTCTCCCAAATTGTAGAATTTCTATAATATCAAATACGCAACATTAAAAACTGTGGTCATTTGTGACCCAGAGCCTCAGTCCACTGTTATTTTGCCAAATAATTTCCTGTTGCCGCGGGCCGCTTGAAAAATTCATGTCTCAGCGCTGATCAGAGGCAATGGCAACCCTTTCAAGGGAAGAAGATCCGTCGACGCAGTATACCGGATCCCCCGGCCGGGTAAACCGTGATTTATTTTAAAATTGCGCGCGGGACCCGGCACACGGGACGCGAAACGTGCCGGTTCAGAAGCCTGGCGGTTTCCATCGCCGTTTTCATCTTCCTCTTCGATCGGTATCTCCCGAGCTGTCATACGTTTCCTCGCGTTATGAGCACCGTAGTAGACAGTTCGTCGCGCTGGAAGTTACCCCCAGCTTCCTAGGCGAGAGCTGCCGAGTCGCCGACAAAACGGTTGTCCGTGTCAAGCACTTATGCGCTTCTTTTTTGCTAAATACATTTCAATATCCGACGTAGGAGTAGTCCTCTCGAACGCGACACTTCGCGCCCGGAAGATATAGCCGCGGATACGA